CAGGTTGCTGAGCTTGAGAAACACAACTGTAACCTGTTGCTAAGTCTGCATGGATTTAGCAAGAAAAAGGTTCAGCAGTTCCTGGGAGCAGGTTTTTGCCATGATGCCCCTTCATATTCTTCAGATCCCATTTCTTCTTTGCCACATGTATTTTAGAAGATTTTTTTTTAAATGTCCTAACTTATACCTTGCTGTTTCGAATGATAAAGGAAGACCAAAAAAAGGAATGTGTTCGCTCCAATTATCTTTGTATACTCTCCTGCTAAGAGTTGAATCAGACACTAGTGGTCTCTTCTAGAATTCTTCATCAAATCTGGCTGAACCATTTGCAGAAAAAGCCAGAACATGCACCCACACACCCAGACACATGCATGCATCTCTTGATCACCAAATGGGTGCAAGAAACCACCCGGTACCCAGGAGATTTCACCCCGTTTCTCTTCTCTGCCGAAAGAAAAATTCGATGTTGTCGAATCAAAACGCCAAGGGAAAATAGAATGACGCTATCTGAGACACATCTCTGACCAGCATCCCAACAGAGTTACCAAAAAGTCCAGCCCTACCTTCTGGAGATACCCACAAAGTGTTGCACTGTCTAACATACAGACTGCACTGCGAGATGACTCGCCCAACATCTCAAAATAATAAATAAATAATCATCTTCCACTGCTGGTACAGTGGAAGATGATAACCCATTGCCATGTAGTATCAAAAAATTCATTTGCCAACCCAGAAGGAGAGAGGGCACCATTGTCATCTTCACCTCTCCTGAAAGAACCCCAACTAGAATTGAGCAACTTATTTCTTGGAATTCAGAGGCCTCCTCTATCACTTTTTTCCCCCCAAGACTTTCCCCTCTGTCTTCCTCCTGCGTAAACAGTCTTCTGGAGCCTTGCCAAGAAACCCTGAATAGGCCAGGTGTCTTCCTTGTGCTTCCCCACTTCTCCTCCTTTCTCCTCTGGCTCCTGAATGGAATTAGCCCTCACCTAATACAGAACACAAGCAAACGGGTTTTTGTTTGGGTCAAATCCATTCTATCGACAGTATCAATTTGTGTAATTCCGGCATGTGGATTTTTGTTACCAAACTGTGTTTGAAAGGAGCTGCCAACCCCCATTAGCTCCTTAATTGTGGTTAAAGCGCTGAGCAATTCAGATACCAGCTCTGCCTGAGCCACCAAGGGGCCTGGTCACGTGGCCAAGAGATCAATACGCATTGAGGTCCCCAAGCAGGTGGGGGTTCAGAGACGTTCCTTCCATACCTCCGACAAGCTGTGCAGCTTCCGCCTGGTTCACAGATCAGCTTCTCTCTCTTTCTTCTTGCTTTCATTATCTGGACTTTAAACAACATCGAACCACCGAGCAAACTGTTTACCCAGTGACAAAGTTGGCGAAGGGACGATGCTTGACAAACGAGGTGGGGAAAAGTAATGGCACAAAGCAGGAATGGATAGACACCATTCTTCCTCCTCCCCAGTTTCACCTTGGAAAGTATGCTGCAGTAGGGAAACAGGACCTGTGGACTCGAAGACCGCCTGGGTTTGAACGCCAGATGCTGTGACAAGCCACACTTCCTGCCACCATGAAACTCTGCACCTGATGAGGGGTGAATCTTTATTAAAAGGGCCACCTAAAAAGTAAAACAGGGGTGGTCCACTTGTTTTTCTTCTGGGGGCCACATTCCCATTGGGGGCTACTCCACGGAGGCACCTGAAGCTAGCCCAGATGCCTCCATGGCCTTTGGCCACTTTAAGACCAACGGAATGACTTGAAGGCCACCACAACTGGCTGTCGGTGGGAATGCTCTCCCTTGGCACGGTGAACGTTCAGCATTTCTTGGATGAAGTCTTGGGATGGTGGGTGGTTCCTTCCTAGATCTGGTACAGGAAGTGAAGGCAGAGACTTTTTGACGGGCCTGGAGGCCAGCTGGAACTGCAGTTGCTGATAACAGATTGCGCCGTTCCTCCCCATTTTGAAGTAGAAAACACAAGATCAGGAGATTAAATGCTGAACAGGTTTAACCCAGTTTAATAAAGCGTCCACGTACTTCCTTCAAAACTTGGAAGTGCCTTTCTTTCAAACCCCAACCCTTCCACATCTATGACCATCCTTGATCATCACCAACTGCAGCTTTCACCTCCCCCACTCTTAAAATTACCAGGAACTACAGCCCCGGGCACCAAAATATTGATCACCCTTGGCCTAGCCATAATGCTTATCTTTGAATTTACCAAAAAGTGGTGGGTGGAGCAAGAAACCAAAGCGGGCTGGGCTACCTGTTTTTTAATCCCCATTTTTCTCTCTGGGGAAAATTTCACCCTTTTCTCCTCCTCCACACGCATCTCCCTGTTAAGCAAGGGGTTCAGGATGCTCCCTTATAAACTCTGTTGCTTGCACCACTGAGTTAAGGCAATGGTCGGCTTCGGCTATATCTTGCAGGTTCTTCCAAAATACTGACTCATCCAGTCACCTCCTTTTGCTTACTGGTGTGTGGCAAGAATGGAAAAAGAAAAAAATCTCTCCATAAAAAATGGCAGAGTTGCATCTTTCCAAAACCAGCAGCTTTTCATGAGTTCTGGATGAAGAGATGCCGTGGTCTTGTGAAGGAAAAGCCAAGTCTCTGGTCTTGGAGAATCAGCCAGGTTTTGAATCGATAACCCTCTCGATAGCAGATGGGAGTGGCCGATGCAACAGCCCATCACAAACAAGCAAGCTACCTCCTGTTTTAGTGTAAGACTAAACCCAGTCACTAGGACTTATAAATCATAGTTTACTGAATAAGCCCCAGGACAACTGCAGCTTGTTCAGCAAAGTAGGGTTTTACCATTGTAAACCCAATAGGAATATTGGTGAGAAGAAATAGGGGGCAAAATAAGCTTGTTAACTAAGAGACTTGGTTGCAGTTCACCCTCAGGGGGTTACCTGCACAACTGGGAGGAGAGACCCGAGAGGCAGTTTATCAAGCCTGGATTTATGGAGAAAGCATGTAACTGGATCTTGGGAAGGAAATGCCTTCCAGGCCACGTAATGGGTTTAGGACTTAGGGGTCATCCATGGATTGTAAAGCTGACTTGATGGCTGCCTTCCAGGCCACCGAGGGTGAGGAAGAGACAGGAACATCTCTTCTGCATTTCAGCAATTAAAAAAAAAAATTAACAAAGGCAATTAAGTCAGTAGACCCCTGTCACACAGGACAAACCTGGTATATTTATTGTTGGTGTGTTTAACCTGGTTAATTTTTCATCCTGTTGACATTTTTATTTTAATAATTTAGGTAAATTATTTATTAAGGCGGAGGATCATCAGGGAGTGCCACGATGACTAAAGGACAGTGTTACCTGCGGCTCCCGTAAAGTTACTTTTGTTAAAAAAAATAAAAAATAAGTCATTGCTATTGGATAATATTCATTACAAGTTTGCTGCACATCAACTCACTCTCTCCCACCTACCCTGGAGTTTTGTGCGATTCCCTTCCTTTTTTTCCTTGTTTTTCCTTCTTTTAAGGTAGTCATCCTGGAGTGGCAGAAGTTAGCAAAGTCCTGGTTTAGGTTCTGAGGTGAGCAGGTGTCCCCTGTGCTGCAGATCTGACTTCATCAAGGAAGTCCACCAGGTACAGTAATAAAAAACAGGTGGGGCTTCCATTGCACCATCATGGCCACCATCTTGCTGTTTTTGACCTCCCCCTGTGGACATCCTTGGAAGTCACCTTGCTGTTGCTTTCTCCATTCAACTCTTTGCTCTACAGCTGGTTGACACGACACACGAGGCCCGGATTGATGAAACCCAACAGTCCTCTTCAGATCCCACGCTTTGCTCCAACAGCTGCACCAGATGACGGCTCAGTGGGGTGGCCTGGTTTGCACACCACGCAAAGGCCATGGCTGGGTTCCCCCATCATGATGAACCACAGAAAAAGCAGGCAGAGAGGTGGACTTTTTCCCCAAGTCACAGAAAGCAAAGGAGTCAGTGAACACCCTATGATTTAGGGGGCATGGCTGACTGGAGGGGAATTCCTTTAGTTCAAACTAACCTGGGCCTGTTTGGGTTTAAAGTAAACCCTTTAGGGTTAATTGGCTGGGTCAACTAACCCAGTTTTTCTATTCGTACAGCATCCGAATCTCCCCTTGTTGGAAAATTACTCTCTCCCCCCCACCCCACTCCTAGTCAGTCCTTAGATCCAGATCAGAGCATGCCTGCACGCCATTCAGCTCAGCTAGCAAAAATAGAGTTTGATATTTATTTATTAAACATCAGCACGCATCAAAACAATTAACTGACAAAGCAGGATAAAAGACAGGCCAAAACAAGAAGAGACAGACATGAACAAACAAGAATGTACATCCTCTCTGTCTATCAAAAGGCACATTTTCCAAAGCCCTTAGAAACAACTCTGGGACCCCTTAGCAAAGGCACTCCCAGCGGCCGTTGGTGACTCCAGCCTCAAACCTTTTTTTGTACCTCACAAAAGCAGAATAGAGATGGAAAGTAGGGCACCAGGTGATCCTTCCTCCATTCAGTACCATTAAAGAATCCATATGGGGGATGCCATATCAAACCCCTGGCTCAGTTAACTGTATCACATGGTGTAATGGTATGTGGGAATGACCTTGGGACACAGGGTGAAGAGACACAGCCAAGGGAACGGTCAGATAAGAGGCAGCATAGCCCGCAACTGGATAATGAGTGGGGCAAGAGACACAGAAGGGACCCTTCTTAGTTTCTTGGGCTGTAAAGAGGATGTGGGGGAGAGATGTATTTTTCAGACTTGCAATATTCTGGGGTGTGGGAAAGACTGTGGGAGATGGGGCGAAGAGATGCTGCCTAGGAAATGGTCAGATAAGAGGGGGCATAGCCCACAACTGCATAATGGGCAGAGAAAGAGGCTCAGAAGGGACCCTCCCTAGTTTCCTGGGCTGTCAAAGGGGACGGGGGAGAGATGTACTTTCAGATTTGCAAGATTCTGTTAACGTAGTCTTACAATAAGGCAGAATTAGTTCATCTGGCCGTGTTTCCTGTCTGGTCTACCTTGCAAGGCTGACCCACGGACAGGACTTAGACGGAATCTGTCAAACCACCCGAAGATGAAGTGCTGGCCTTTGGATTCTCCAGCTCAGAGGGGACCAGCCTGCTCTGTTGCCCCTCTGTCCCTGCCACATTCCCAAGGTGCAAACTAATTTTTTATGCCTGGCTTCCACGCCACCATCTAATTGGCCCTACATTTTTCATTTGGTGGAAGTTCAGCTGCCCCTCCTCCCGCTGGGAATTCACACCTTTATTATCACTCTTTATTACCAAGCAGTTCCCGGTTTTGAAAAGCAGCCCCGATAAAAAAAAAAACCTTTATTATCACTCTTTATTACCAAGCAGTTCCCGGTTTTAAAAAACACCCCCGACAAAAAAAAAAAAAAAAAAAAAGGGAGCAGGGTGTGTTTTCCCCTTCCCATTTTTTTCCCCACCCGTAGTTTCAATTTTAATTACCAGCTTCAAGACAACTCACATTCTTACCAGGTTGTTACACGCTAATTAAAGCGAGAAGGAGTTTATGGAAGGGACAGAGACTTCCATTCTTGCTCTCATCTATTATTTACAATCAGTAATGCAAATAATTTCCAATTTAAACAGGCTGAGCTGGTCGGCCACCGTGGAAGGAGGGGCCACGGAGGAAAGTCAAGGAACGAAGAAGCTTAGGGCCTCAGTGTCCAGTGGACGCAACAAAGGAGAATGGACGGCTAGATGTTCCTTCCAAATTATGGTTTCCTGGTGGAAATCCAGCGATGGGCTCATATACCACCATACTTCCATTATTTCATCTGACCTGATCTGGCCAGGGAAAGAATGTTCTTACGCATTAACTGCACATTAGCTGAGCCATTCTGAAGATGGCTTTTGAGCCAAACACCCAGCCCGGCAAGGAAGATATTGGCTAGCGCTGGACTGGAACAGGTAGGTGAGATCTTGGCTGGTTGGGCTTTGGCAACCTGAACTTGCCAAGATTTGCACCTTTTCCTCCTAAAGGGGATGTGCAAATGTCTGAGGTACCCAGAGGTTGTAGGAAGAGAACATTTGCACGTCCCTGTCAATGCCAGGTATGGCATCACGGCTTGTGTCTCCTTACAAAGGTCTCCACATCAGGACAGGTTCTTGGTCTAAAAACTCCAGATTCTGCTGAACTGACAGGGTGCAAGAATTTCCACACGCATTACAGAGCTTCTAGGCTAGGAGTAATGCCAACGGAGGAAATATCCTGTATTGTTCCCGTCCCTTCTCATTCAGTTGGATAATTGTGTGTGTTTTTACCATTTTTTATGCGTAATTGTTTTTATGTA